TAGAAGGCAATGGCAGTCTCCTAATTGAGTTAGTAATGCACAGTAAAAACTTTAATCTATATTAAGATTTTAGTTTTAATAAGAGTAGTTGTAACGATTTTTTTCTCTTCTCTCAAAATTTTCATTGTTTAAAAGAAAAAAATAGTACTGTTCGAAGTGCTTCACGAAACTTCTAATGTTGAGTTCGCAAGCAACTCCAACGTCTAAAAACCTAAGAGTGTTTCTTTATATAGATATTTCAACACTCAAGTTAAAATTATTTTACAATTTAGATAAAAAAAAACTCTCAAAAAAAAGTAACCATAACAAGAAAAACATAAAAAAGTCATTACTTTATGTGAAAATAGTTGAAAGTATAACAATTCCACTATATGTCATTATTTTACTTGTACACTTACTTTTAATTACATGGGTGTATTATAATTATTATGTTTGTACTTTAAGGCCTCATATATCTGTTGGGTTTCGTTGTTAATGTTGGGTCAGTTTTTGAACAAATAGTTCTAGAAGAATAAAGTCTTTATCTCAATACAAAATAATTCACATAGGTTACAATTTTATCATAATCTATCTTATAATAATATGTAAAATTATTGAAGAATAATTTTTTTATATCATTTTTTATACAACTTTATATAACTTTATATGTTTATCATTTTTATTTCATTAAGAACAAATAAAAATTATAAATAATTATTATTTTATAATTTAATCCTCATTGAACTGTAAAATCACTTTCTCTTATAGTAAATTATATTGATACTATCAAGTTTCATATTTATTACTAACAAAATATGAAATTTATGGAACCAAACCTTTGTGTCTAAGTAGTTTGTCTTCAAATCTTAAGATACTTGAGTTACTTTATCAAAATTTCAAGTCCCACCAAAATCTTGAAAAATCTCTCTCTCCCCCATTCCCCAAATTATAGACTGTTTAAAAAAATTGAAATTTATGATTTGTTAGTTTCAATGGGAAAATTTTAGTTTTTTTTTAAATAAGTTTTTGTGTTGGAAGAGTTTTCTTTTTTTATTGAATCTAATGTGATTTGGTTTTGAATTAATTAAGGTCCAATATAATTTTTAAAAATTGAGAGATTAATAAAAAATAAATAAATAAAAGTCAACATTTTGACGACTGAAAGCGTAATTATTGGGATTAGGTTCAAAGAAAATAAAAATCAATTATTTTTGTGTAAGGAGATGCAATAATTGGCAGTACTAGAAGAATAGAGTACTTATTAGACTACACAATAATTCACATGGAGTACATAACCTTATGCTAATATCTAAATTATTAAGGAATAGTAGCTTTTTTATATATAATTTTTTATATAATTTATATATATTATTATTTTATTAAATATATTCATGTATTTAATAATATATAAAAATTACTCTTATAAAAAAAATTATATATATATCATTACCCTAATTTGTATTTATGTGGAATTAATGAAGTCACAAATTGAAGATCCAAAAAAAAAAAGAAAAAAGAAGTCACAAATTGATAATTCCATCATTTCATCAATAACATTCCATCATTTCTCATCTTTCAATCAAGGACTGATATTTCAAAACATAAAATAAAATACTAAATCAAGGATTGAGGATAATGAGGGCGCACCCCGAAATTTTGCAAAATTTGTGACCATTCAAAAAATATTTTTTAGTTAATTGGCTCTCTCAAAATTTTTTTTATCCCTCTAGAAAAAAAAATTTTTTTTTTGAACTGAAGTTAAATTTATCCCTCTATAATTTATTTCAATCTCTGTCCGGGCTTTTAATCATGGCAGGTGGCTCACTACCTTTCTCTTTTAATTCTTAAAATGTAGTTACCCTTAATTAAACTCGAGGTTCTAATTAGAGAATTCTCCTCCTTCCTTTCCTAACACTCCGGCTTTTCCAGTTTCTTCAACATTGATATATGAATTAGTTCATTTTTTTTTTTACATTAATCCATGGTATCAAAAAATCATATTAAATCTTAATTAATTCAGAGTCGAGTTTGGTCGAATCCTATATGAAAAAAAATTCTTTCAGCGCTTATTTTTTTTATTGATAAGATTCGAATTCAAAATCTTATTTAAAGAGAATCGAGTTTTTTTTATTCGGATCAAATAAATTAATTCATTTTACATATATATTTTATTTATAATTTTTACATAAAATTTTAATTAATTATTTTTATTATAAATTATTAAAATTTATCAATATTTTTTTAATAAAAAATAAAGTTAATTTCAAAAAATAAAATAAAAATTAATAAATTTCAACTACTTACGATAAAAACATTTATTTAATTTGTGTTTTTTTTACAAATTTATATTAAAAAATAATAAATAATTAATTATTTAATATTAAAATTAATAGTAATATTTTTTAAAATATATTTATAATAAAAAAATATTTTAAACTCATACCATAAAAATATATATTAAAAAAAAAACCTATAGTAAAAAGATTAATATTTTTGTATAAAAATTCTGAATGAACGACAAACAAAGTCTTTTTTGACTCTTTTAACTTTTAGCCCGCGCCTCGATATTGGATGTGACCACAGTGGAATTTGCTTTTGTGTTAAGCAACAACTTAAAAAATGAAAAAGAAGTTAAATCTTCAATTTGGTTTTTTAATTATTCTAAGAATTTTTGATTTAATTTTTAAATTAAAATTTTTTTGATTTAATCTCTAAATTATTATAAGAACCTCAATTTAATCCATATTATTTATCAATTTACCTCAAATTGATCATTTTGTACAAAAACTAACTGACATATTTTGTTATTAACATGACATGTGATCGTTAAGTTATTATTTTTTGTTGTTAAATAATAAATATGTTAGTTATTTTTTGTATGAAAAGATCAATTTGAGGTAAATTGATAAACATTAGGATTATATTTAGGGGTTCTTACAATAATTCAAGGATCAAATAAGAGGTTTTTTAAATTTAGAAACCAAATTGAGGGTTTGTATAATAATTTAGAGATCAAATTGAGAGTTTAACAAAAAAAAAAAAAACTTGAATTGAATTTTTTGATTTTAGTGGTTCGTCCCAAATTTAAAAATTTTTTAGATTAATTGATCAAAATTTTAAATCTCACTATCGCCCTTCGAAAAAATCCTCCTCCTTGTGGTTTTTATTTTTTTTAAGAAAGGACTTGATTCGATGGTTAATAAAGCCCAATCCGCCTTTATAAAATAACAATTAACGAGAGAGCCAACCCAACCAACAAATAAAGGCCCAACCAAAAAGGCCCAAAAAAAATAATGAAGAAGTCTGGTGCAGTCCCAGATGCGGAAGTTCACAACCATGGCTTCCAAGAAACCTAAAGAAGAAGAGAAGAAGAAGAAGAGCAGCAGCTCCGGCAAGGAAGCAAAACCCCTGAAAACGCCGGACAAGAAAACCGGAACCCCTAAGAAGCAGAGCAATTCGCAGCCTAAGTCCGATAATAAAAATAACAGGAGTCGCAATGGCACCGTGGACGAGTCTGAGGATCCGGTCGACCTGTCTTCAAGCACCGAATCTGAGGAATCAGAACCAGAACGAGAAGAAGAAAGGAGTATGAAGACGAAGAATCAACGCAATAAGAGCCCAAAACCCAAGAAAAGGAAACAAAAAGGAGGGGAAGAAGAAGATGATGATGATGAACAAAAGGAGGAAGCAAAGCTATGTCGGTTTCCCATGAATAGGATCAAGAGAATAATAAAGAGTGGAGATTGTAATAAGGGTATCACCCAAGATGCTATTTTTCTGGTTAACAAGGCCACGGTAATCTTCTCTCTTACCCTTTGTATGTCATGTTGCTTTAATAATGTGGTGCCACCGTTTGTTCCTTGTTAAAGAATGCAATGTGGATTTAAAAATGGTAACCTCAATTCATTCTTTTGCTCATTGTTGGGATTTTGTCTGTAATGGGTATATGGTTTTTGGAATGCTCAGGTTGCAAATTGAGGAGGGGTGTAAGGAACAATGTTAGAATCATAGGATAGAATCAAGTGAGATGATTGAAAAAAATGGTAAAAGAAATATTTGAGCTTTTCTCTTGGTAATAGTTTTTTGCATTACAATTTTATAATTAGGGAGGAATGCTAAAGGTAAAAATGGTACAGGAGTGGCAGAGAGAGAATGGATGGGAGGTTTGTTAAATGATTTCTGGTATGCATCATTCCTAATTGGTTGCAAGTCTTTCCTCGTTTGATTTGTTGATCAAGATTCTAATTGTTTTGTGTAAATTACTGTTTCTTCTTCGGTATGTGAAGCCATGAGGTGTTATTTTCTCCAACTGAAATGATATAGTTGATTTCCCTGCATATTTAGTGTTCTTGAATATGTCATTGTGTGCCATAGACTTTGATGTTCTTCATTAATTGCAGGAGAAATTCCTTGAGCGATTCTGTGAAGATGCATATCACTTTACAGTCAAGGATCGTAGAAAATCCCTTGGTTACAAGCACCTATGTAATGTCCCCTTTCTTATTCTTTTTTCATTATGCCATGGCTTGTAGTCCTGTACTTTGGCCCAATGTGAGGAGTAGAGGAAGTAAATGAAGAGCAAAAGAGAGAATGTAGAATGAATAGCACAGAATTTAAGGTTTCAGAACCTTTTAGCTCCAAACCATGTAAAGTGGATGGTTCTAAGGCTAGATTTTTCAAGTATCATATATCTGGTTATGATACAAATCTGTGATCTGTAGATTAAAACTAGGTTAATGAGAAAGAAATTATGATACAGATCTTTCATTATTCATGTGAAGAAATGTTTCTGAGATGTAAAATAGACTTCCAACCATGAATACTATAAATAACAGTAAAAGATTAGTATCAATGTTAGGAAAAGATATACATATTGAAGGTAACTGATTCACCAAGCTTCTAGGATGCTTCTGTATTGTTGCTCATGTTTTGTCTTGTCGAATTGTTGTCTTCATACCCTCTTTCTTTCTTTTTCAGCATCAGTTGTAAGTAAACAGAAGAGATATGAATTTATATCGGGTATTGCTCTCTCTTCCTTCTTCTTATCTCAGTTTCTGCAATGTCTTGTATTTCCAATCTTTTTCTTTGTTGACCCTTTAGTTTTATGTGTTTCCAGATTTTGTTCCTGAGAAAGTGAAAGCTGAGGATGCTTTGAAAGAGATGAAGTTATCTGAAAACAAACTTGGATAGCCTCTTGAAATGCATGCTAGCAATAGCAGCAATGATCTTGCACTCCCTGTTTTGAGCAGCTTTGACTATCAGGCTCTTTTCACAGGCTTGTTCTATTTTTCTGACAGTATTGCTGTTTTGAAATGGCTGAAGATCTTTTTGCAATTGGATCTCCACCTGAGAATATTTTCCCCTCTAGAGTTTTATATATGGTGAAAATATTGATGCAGTCATTAGAAAAATGGAAATTTACATTTCATCTAGAAAAAAAAAAAAAATTTATATATTGATGCAACATCCATGGGTGTCTGTAATTGAATTGGCTGTCACGGCATTACTGAACATATCTTGTCACAAGGAGATGAGTTATTGGGAAAGACATTCCCTGCTTTTAAATCAGACATTTAAACTCTAGACTCTGTCATTGTATTTCACAGGATTAGTAGTTTTCTTTATTGTCAGAAGTTGGGATTCAAGACATCTTATCATTGTATTTCACTAACTTTTGACTTGAATAATATACTTGATCCGTTTTACTACTAACTAATCTAAATTATCCCATCTGTTAGTGTTGAAATGTTGAATCTAGGAGCACTTGGATAATATCTGGCTATGCTCGCAACCTTCCAGAAGCTAATGACAACTACATTTGTATGTCTGCATGTTCTTTGATGTCAGGAGAGCCATCATGGTTGATTCTTCTTCTTGTCTAAATAAGGATGCAGCCGTTGATAGTTTATGATTGCCCACACCAAGTGCCAAATGTGAATCTCTGGCCACAGTGCTGCTGGAGAATACAACAGGCAATTAGAGGTCTGCCAGAGGAGGAAATTGCTGAGGCGTTTCTCGCCTGATGTCCTAATCAGGATGTCAGGATCAGGAGCCGCAGCCAGGAACATGTGTTTTTCCACATCTGCTATATTTGTATCAGGCCTCATGTTAGGCACCTTGAGTGCATGAAATTCAGTATTAAATTTTTCTATGCAAGACTTCTGAACGGCTCTAGCAATTTCATTAGTTGAAGTGTATGCCACAGAGACTAAAACTACGATCCTGTTGTTGGCAGCGGTAGCTACCATTGCATTTTCAGCAGCACGCCTCATAGGCTCACTCAGAAGTTTCAAATTGCCTCTGAAGATTAGTCTAACACCATACCTGTCGACAAGATCTTTTTCTTTGAGCAAGACCAGGGTTTTCTCTAACATTAGATCCATAACACACTTAACATCACAGGAGTTTCGTTTGTAATTATCAAGGCTGAAGGCATAAAGGGTGACATACTTCACCCCCAGCTCGGAACAATAGTTGAGGATGTAGAGTAGAGCTTCGTATCCCGCCTTGTATCCATCTTCGTTGTTAAGTTTGTGCTTCTGAGCGTACCTCCTGTTTCCGTCCAGGATGAAGGCAATGTGTTGAGGGATGGGGCCGACGGATAATACCTTCCAGAGGAATTTCCGAAGGAATGCACCCAAGTTTGTAAAGAGATTTGAACACAAGTTTTGGTCGTCCATTTTCATATCGATGTAAGATTGTTTCATGAATTGCAAACGGAGAGGGGATGTTAAAGTGTGAAGATGGCATGCCAAGAGGATGAAAGGAAGTAGGAGGAGAATTTGTAGCAACAAAAAGAACATGCTCTTGATGCCTTGAATCATTTAAAATTTGTAAAAATATATAAAACATTAAAAAGTAGTAGAAGTGTTTATTCAGTTAGTGTTCAAAAAAATTATTCTCTCTAGTCCAATTTCATTATCTTAGTTTAATTTTTAGATAAAGTTTGATAAAATAATTTTATATA